TAAGGGCTGTGAAGAACATTCTCAGGAAATCCAGAGGTACAGAAATTGGAATGGTCAGCTTATTGGTCAGGCTGATCTATGAAGCCAGCGTGCGACTCTCTACGTTAAATTCAAGGTGGGAAAAGTAACACGAACGCTTAGGTTCATTTCATGGAACATCCGGAGTGTTAATCGCAGAATTAATGATCTACAATGGTTTGTTAAAGTTTTTGACATTGATGTAATTGGTTTACAAGAACCTTACACGTCCAGCACCCAGAAGAAAGTTGCACCCAGGATAGCTGGGTTTACAGCATATAATAGTGGAGCAGGAAGTGGCCTGCTCACATATGTAAAGAATGGTCTGGTCTGTAAATGGATTAAAACTCACAATGATGAAAGTATTCACTATCAACAATTTACAGTATAGACAGCAAACAGTCAATTTTCGCTGTATAACATCTATGTTCGGTGTAATGAACTGCGAGCGGACGTGTTACCAAAGCCATCAGGTAACAATGCTATGCTGTGTATGGGTGACTTTAACTCTCGTCACACTGTCCTCGGTGATGTTCAGTGTAACTCTAATGGGAGGGTGTTCGTGAATTACATCAATAATCATAATATCACTGTATACGACACAGACAAAGTGACACATCTGATGGGGGCAGACTTGATTATGTGATTGGGTATAACCTAGTAGACAGTAATGTCAAGGCTAAGGTCATCTCAGACTACCTTGTCAGTGATCATTATGCAATACTTACTGAATACACTGTTGCTGATGTCAAGTGTGAACCCCATCCTAAGCTCAGAATTAATATCCCAGATAATCTTAAACTGCACTTCAAGGCCTACATCCACAGATGGTATGCTGGATATACACCTGGGTCAGTGGATGAATTTTGCTGTGATCTTGTAAATGTCATTACCACATATTATACCACCTGGGTTAAGTCAAGGAGGAAGGGGGGCAGCACTAAATCACCTCTGTGGACACATGACCCCATCCTCACCAAAGAAGGAGAGAATGTAAAACAGCTTGCCAACACTTATAAGCAAAATAAAACTAGTGATAACCTTTTGGCATTCCTCAAAGCTAACAGAGAATTTCGTGAACTCAAAGGTCAGGTGAGAAACACCTATTGGGAACAATTCTTACAGGGGATTAATAGAACAACCACTCTAGCAGAAATGTGGAAGAAAATTAGAGCCATTACCAAGTCACCCACCCCAGTCCAGCTTCATCACAGCCCTGCAGAATATGCTGACATGCTATTAGACCAATGGTCTAGTGTGTCACGAATCACTTCCCTGCCTCCTGACATACAGCAATATCTTAACACCTCACACATTAATAGGGGTTTCAATATTGAAATAGCCTGTTCCTCACCAGACCTTACCGACCAGTTTCCTATAACGCACCACGAACTAACAACAGCACTAATGAAAGGCGAGTCATCCTCTCCTGGTGAGGATGGCATAACCTATAACACCCTGAGATTGTTGAATGAGATCCCTAACCATCCACTGCTTGACCTGTATCAAATGAGCCTCACACAGGGTATTCTGCCTAAGACATGGACTCATGGAAACATAGTTCCAATCCCTAAAGCTAATTCTCCAAACTTCAGGCCAATTTCACTTACATCCTGTATGTGCAAAGTCCTTGAAAGAGTTGTTCTAAACCGTCTCATGTTTCAAGTCACAGACAAACTCGCCCCTAATCTGTACGGGTTCATGCCCGGGCGTAGCACACAAACATGCTTTGCAGAATATCTTGTTCACTCCAAAGATAAGACACAAACAGCCTTCATAGACCTTAAATCAGCCTTTGATGTAGCTAATAGAGACATTATACTTGAGCAACTAGCTAATTTTGGCATCCAAGGTAACCTCCTGACATGGATAAAGGGTTATCTGTCCAACAGGTATGCCAGAGTTCTGTTTAGGGGAGTTAAAAGTACCAGAATGAGATCATTTGAGCTGGGCACGCCTCAGGGAGGAGTGTTAAGTCCTATGCTCTTTAATATACTGATGCACAAGCTTATTGCTGACATTCCAGTTCAGCCAAACGAAGCCGTAATATGCTATGCTGATGATATCTGCATTATGACACAAACCAAACTCAGGCTCCAAGCCTTGCTGGATGTATTTGCTCGGAGAACTGTTGAATGCGGTCTCATAATATCTGTTGACAAGACGAGGGTCCTCAATCCTCGTCCTGCTCACCCTCTGCCTCTTGACTATAACATTAACAGCATGCCCTTGGAACTATGTAGCTCCTACAAATATCTTGGAATTTGTGTGAATGATGCAAACTTTGTCAGCAACCTTCGTGACAAACTAATGCAGCGCATTAAACCCCTCAGAACCCTTGTTGGCAAGGGCTATGGAATTAACATCACCTATGCTCGTACTTTCTATCTTCACTTCATTCGTTCTGTAGTTGACTATCATGCTCTCCATCTTGTGACTATTCCGCCTAAACAACTCAACAGCCTTGAGGTAGTGCAAAATGAAGCCATGCGCATCATCCTAGGTTGCCCAAAATCAACCAGAATTGTAAACATGAGGAAAGAGCTCGGACTGCCCTCCCTATCTGAGAGGATAGCCCTACTTAATACCATGTTTTGTGTCAAAGTTTTGAAGAACAATAGTTCTCAAACTACAACTCAAACTGAGTTGATGTTCTATCTAAGTAATCCCGACCATCTCGCCAACCTTTCACAAAAGACTCTCTTTGGGGCGTGGCTTCATAAAAGTGTTGCAGATCTCCTGAAACTGAATGTCCCAATCACCCCAGACGAACCTATTAATGCCATTCCTCCTTGGCTGGACATATCAGTTCCTATTAATTACACTCCTGTTGGTAGTAAGCAAATGTTAAACACCGATGTGGTGAGATGTGTCACACTAGAAACTATTAACAGACACATAGAGAGTATTAAATCAAGTGAATGTTATGCTTTTACTGATGGTTCTGTGCAGACAAACACAGGTAGAACAGGCTGTGCAATTGTAATATATAAAGAAAAAGAGATGATAGTGTCAACCAAACAAAGGCTGAACAACTGGGCCAGCACAACACAAACTGAACTAACTGGAATCTACTTAGCCACAGACTACCTCAAAGAAAATGGAGGTGGGGTGATATTCTGTGACTCTCAAAGTGCTTTGAAATCAATGAACAGCCCGTCAGGCTCTATGTCTAAAGTTGCGTGTGATATTAAAAGGAATGTGATAACTGCCAATGAGAACAACTTTCGTATCGAATTTGTGTGGATTCCGTCCCATGTTGGAATCAGGTATCATGACCATGTTGATAGACTGGCCAATGAGGCATGTAAGAAAGAAAATGTTGACCGCGACCTTGGTCTGTCCAATGCTGTAATTAAAAACATTCAAGTCAGAATCATGAACTCTGATCTAGATGAAGTGAGAAATGCAGAGAGACCTGACAGTTGTAGCATTAGTAAATATGACAAATTTTGTAACAAGAGGTACCGGTATGGCCAGCATAAGGACAGAACCAGACAATGTGATGTAGTCGTGGCCAGAATTAGGCTAGGATACAGACACATCTGGCAAGTTAGTAACGCTGTACCCCTACCGGAACACTCAGCATGTAAACTTTGTGATAAACCTTTGAAGCATACACGTGAACACTATATTATTGAATATGACACTGTCAAAGACTTCAGGCCACCTGACTTACTGTATCTTGAACTATGTAATTACTTCATTGAATCAGGTGTGCTTGAGGACATTCTTGCTGTTTATCCCAAATTTGCTAGCCCACACTGATTAGTCTTCAATTAGAATATGACTCCAATGTATGTGATCCACTGACCTATATATGCTACTGGTGAATGTGATGTATTTCCTTCTTTGTGTACGAACCTCTGTCCTGCGTGGCAGTGAACAGTGGCATTACCCACATGAATCTGACCTATATATAGTGTCAATGAATATGATGCATTCTTTGTGTACGAACCTCTGTCCTGTATGGCAGTGAAAAGTGACATTACCCACATGAATCTGACCGACGTATATGTATGTATGTGTGCGTGTGTGCATGTATATGTGCGTGTACGTGTATATGTGTATGTATATACGTATATGTATGTATATGTGTGTGTGTGTGTTTACATATATGTATATGTACTGTCAATGAATATGATGCAACTCTTTGTGTACGAACCTCTGTCCTGCATGGCAGTGAACAGTGACATTATCCATTTGAATCTGACCTCTATACATTTATAGTTGTTAATGAATATGATGTATTTCTTTGTGTGTGAACCTCTGTCCTGCGTGACAGTGAGAAGTGATACCACCCTCAGTGTCAAAACCTGACTGAATTACTCAGAATAGGCAAACTGTACTACAAGCTCTGCCAATAAATTTGTTAAACTAAAAAGGAGGATTAGTGGGTCTTATGACCTGAAGATGTCTGAATAAAATTTTCACCTATGAGGTACAGGTAGTTCTGCTATACTTAGCGATAGTTGTGTTCTTGTAAAACCTCGCGTTCTAGAAATTCGCGCAATAGAAATAACAGGGCTTATGGAGAAAATAGGGATAGGTGCAGATTACACTCGAAATAAAAAAAAGTTAGTAGTTAGCCTAACACAAAGGATAGCACAGTCTAAATAAATGTTACATTCATATCTACTAATGAAATCATACAGTAAATGTTACGCTTTACCTTGAAAAAATATGAATATAACTTGATGGGGGAGAAGGTTGATGTTGAGGTTGAGGAGTCATGCAGACAGGATTTGACAGTTGTCATCGTCATCAACAGTATCAGGTGCAGTTTTGGTTGCATGGGAGGGATGAAAAAAACGTCTAATTCCAGAAGTGGATGGCTGTGGTTCAGTGTCTTCAGTCTGTGGTTCAGACTGCTTCTTGGGGGTTAACTTAAAAAAGACGTCTAATGTTTGCTGCTTTGTCGTCTTTCTTCTTTTACAAAAAAGCTGTTCATAAGGTGCCAAAAAAGATTTAACACCACGAACTGCAATCCTGCTCCTTTCTGCAGTGTAGTCATTGTCTTCCAAGATCTGCAACTGCTTATCAACTTTCCTCAGGATAGAAGACAAAACAGATGTGGGAAGCTCTCGTGGTTTTGCATCCTTTACTTCATCATCTTCGGCATCTTCTATTTCCCCAGCAGCAACAAGTTGTAGATCAGCTGTAGAGAGGTCTTCATAGTGGGACTTGAGCAGTTCCTCAACATCAACACTTTCCACTTCAGCAAAGCCAACTTGCTTTGCAAGAGAAACACAATTTTCTTTTATTTTTGGGAGCTCCTCTGATGCATCAAAGCCTGTAAAATCATGAATTAAGTCTGGGAGAAGCTTCTGCCAAACTCCACTCAAGCAGTCCTTACTTACATCACCCCAGGCCTCCACAATGATGTCAATTGCATGCTTGATGTTGAAACTTTTCCAAAATTGAAGAACACTGGCCTTATCATTTCCTTCCTCAGTAGCTGCAATAAGTTTCTTAAATGTATGCCTCAAATAATAGGCTTTGAAGGCTGCTATTACTCCTTGGTCCATTGGATGAAGGAGAGATGTTGTATTTGGAGGTAGAAAGAGCACTTTGATATTGTCAGAAAGCTCAGCAATGGTGGGAGGGAGGGTGGCTTGGCGCATTATCTAAAATGAGGAGAATCTTAAAATCTATATTCTTCTTCTTGCAATAATTTTTTAAAACATTTTCAAAAACATCCACAAGAAGGTCAGAAAAAATTTGTCCTGTCATCCAACATTTTTTGCTTGACCTAAAGTGAACACCTAGAGTAGACTTTATGTAACCCTTTAAAGCTTGCAGGCTGACAGTGATACACAAGCACAGGCTTAAGCTTTAAGTCTCCACTAGCATTTGCACCCAACAACACTGTCATGCGGTTCTTCGCAGCCTTAAAGCCTGGAGCATGTGCTTCAGTCTTGGAAATGTAAGTTCTTGTTGGCATGTTCTTCCAGTATAAACCTGTTTCATCCAAATTAAAAATTTGGTCTAAGGTGTAGCCTTCTTCCTGAATAAATTTCTTTACAGTGGGAGGAAATGCCCGCGCACTTGCTTCGTCAGCATTTGCTGCTTTACCACATAACTTTACATTATGAAACACATAGCGGTTCTTAAAACCTGAAAACCATCCACTACTAGCACTAAAGGCAACCACATCAGAAGGATTTTCAGCCTTTTTCGTTAGGTCCTCATATATTGATAAGGCTTTCTCTTTAATTGTGAGGAAGCTGGTCCCAGATCGCTTTTTCGTTTGATCTTCTATCCAAACACTTAGAAGCCATTCCATCTCCTCAAGTTCCTCTGGCCTTGATCTCACACTTTTGCTAACACTCAAGGTTTTTCCAGCAATACAGCTTGCTTTAATCTTTCCTGCATTGTCTCTAATGGTGCGTAAAGTAGACTTCTTTATTCCCATTGCACGCACAATATCACATGTTCTTTCCTTATTTTCAAAACGCTTGACAACATCAAGCTTTTCTTCAAGTGTTATAGCCTTTCTTTTACGATCACCGGAAATGTGATCACCAGAACGCTTCCCAGAGATATTCTTCTTTTCCATAGTCACAAAATTGGAGAAACA